ATACAAATAGCAAACCCTAGAAGGGTTGTACTCGCTATAGAGCACCCCACTACAGGCTAGAGCATAATATTCTGACAAATTCTCCCCGTGAATATGTGCGTGGAGAGAACACGAGCAAACAACTAAGAAACGCTACGATCACTCCTACCCTGTGCCTTCCCCGTAGTCTAGCTCCCGTTGTAGTATTTATCTCCGCAGAGAGGAAGGGTGGTACTACTAAGAGAAGTGGGGGGAATGGATGACATGACTGATGATTGTTTGTTGTTTTTTTTTTTTGTTTTTTTTTGTATTATTGAAAAGCATACACTGCAAGGGAACAAGTGCACACTAGTCAATAGCGGTCGTAACCATGCATGAGTGAGCAGAGGCTATCTACTCCAGCGAGGATGCTATGGTGGGTTAAAAAATGTTCTGGGATTGGTCCAGATGGATTCAAAACCCATAGTCCACGTCCACTTCTTATCACCGGCCAGCCGCACCTTGTCCAACATTTTCTGCTCCTCCAATAGGCCTTTGCGAAATCTGGCCTCCTGCACCGACTTCCGTTTCTTTTGCCACGCTGTCAAGCGTGCCTTCATATATACCCTTGAATGCTGACGGAAAGCAAGCAAGATCCGCCTCAGCACTCGGCGCGCTCGGAAGAACCGCCCTCTGAACACAGCACAACACCGCTCCAGCCACACCTGATGTAACGTGATCGCAATGAGGGTGGCTTCTGGAAAAGCCGTGCATGTCCCCGCCTTGCGGAACAGGAGGTCCTCTAGCGAGTTCATGGCTCTGAGAGGGTTCAGCAGGCGGAGGGCGCGCTTTAGCGCAGTCATCACCGTTTGGATTTTCGGGCATGCAAAAAGACAGTGCTCCAGTGTCTCCTCGTTTTTGCAGTGTGGGCAAAGAGGTTTGTCACTGAGGAATGCCAACTGCTCCCCCACTTGAAGGTTGAAATAATACACCCGCATCAGGACATCTCTTGGGCTGCTGGGAGTGACCAGAGATTCTCGTATGCCCAGGATGCTTTTCCAGTTAATTGAGCCGCTCCACCTGCCTTCCCAGCGCAACATCCGATGCGACTATGCATGCACCCCTTTCCAGTGCTTCCGCATCTCATTCAGCGGGATTGTGAGAGTACGACGGCTTATGCTGGCTTTGCTAGCTTGCCTGGACATTATTATGCTATTTCTAGCTTGGGTTTATTTTATCATGCATAGATATGCTTGATTTACTAGGTTAGGTACATTCCTATATGTTATAATCGTTATAGCACCGAACCAGGTTACGTGTACCGAACTCAAGCCTATTCGGTTTCCACCGAATTGCTTTCTACTGAGTTCGGGAAGGTTCTGTTCGGGACGCTTCGCGACCCTCAGAACATTCGCGTAACACCTGGGTTACCTGCCTTGTGTCGAGCCTATATATAGCCTCGTCTTGTACCCAGGTGAATCATTGAATTCAAACTCTCTTTTCTGAGCTCGATCCTAGATCCTCACACTTGGTAATCAGAGCGGGTTTACACGCGAGGTCTTCAACCGCTTAAAACCTAGCTTCTAAAACCGCGGGGGCGACGATGGAAAGCGCCAATTTCGGGTACGTAAACCAGTTCCGCGCTATTTTTTAACGTCCCCCTCGAAGCGGTTTTCGAGGTCCAGTGGCGAAAAAATTGGAATTTCGACCGTCAGATCGATTCGAATCTCAACGGCCCTGAGAATTTCGCCCAAAAACGTTGGAATTGGGAGCGTCGGATTGAATTTATTCTCAACGGCCGAGATCGGACGCGAATTTCGACTAAGGGAGAATTACTCGACTTACAGAATCAGCGCTCGTCATTTCTACAGTCGATTCGACTCACAGTAAGATTACCAGCGCCTAGAATTCAATTATTTTCGTCGCAAATCTTCCTGTAAATCGCCAAATGGAGGAAAATGGTGATAATTCCATACGAAAATTTACGGAGTTACACACCGGCCTGGACCAGACGCGAGCGGCACTCCAGCGAATAGAGGAGCTTCTCGCGAACCAGTCGGCAACCGCCACGGCAGCAGCAAACGCAGCGGCGAATGCAGCAGCGACGTCAGCAGCAGCAGCGGCGACACCGACACTTCACCCAGCAGCAGCGGCAGCGGCTACAGTGAATCTTGAGGCGGCACGTCCGAGGCTACCGGAAAAGTTCAATCCGAATGCGAGAGACGCCGACGTCCGTCGATTCATTGCGACCCTCGAAATTTACTTCGAGGCCGTTGGGTGTACGAACCCGACACACGATGCAATGCGGATTCGGCTCGCAGCGACACTGTTATGAGGCCCGGCGCTCGAGTGGATTTACAATAGCAACGAAGTCCGAGGCGAGGGGTCATGGACGCAGTTTCGGGAAGCTTTAATTCAACGTTTCGAACCAATCAACTCCAGCTACATGGCGCGGCAGCAGATTCATCGGCATAAACAGTTCGGCAGTGTAACACAGTACACGCAGCAGATGGAGAGCCTCTTCAACCGAATAACCGACCCGACCGAAGGGGAAAAAATCCAAGCGTATACTGAGGGGCTAAAGATGGAAGTCCGCCGATAGGTGATTGCCGCGAACTACAACAACTACCGCGACATAGTGTGTGCAGCAGAGAGATTCGATGCGCTGACGCGAGATCAATCCGAGACACGACGCCACGTGCCGAACATATCATTCGACACGAAGCGATCGGCACCACCCACGACCGCCGACCTGATGGATATCGACAAGATTGACGCGAAGCAGCAGCCGGCAAAATACGAGAAATGTGAATTGAAGAAGGCACAGCAGCAGCGGTGCAGCAGGACATCGACTCTTGGCGTGTTGGAAAATGAAGAAGGCACGAGCGGAGCTGAATGGCAACAACAGTGCGGCACCCCCGAAGTCAAAAGACGTGGCGACTTCGGAGCGGGCGAAAAAAGGAGGACATGATGGCGCGAATTTAAAACGTCACAACCGGCCGGCAACAGGGGAAATCGCCAAGACAAATGGAGGCTCCGCGAAACAAGACTCTGCACCGACCGGGAAACTCCAGCCGAACACCCCCGAGAGTAAGAATATTTCCTCTCGAGGTTTTCAAGCCTTTGAAAAATTCAGGGGAGACTTCAAGGCCAAGAAAAAGCTTTTAGACATTATTCAGGTACCTGAGAAGTTGGGCAAACCACTCCGCTTGCTTGCGCTCGGAATTTGTGTGGTGTCCTTGAGATCCACCCTGAGCTTGTTTTGCTTCTTGCTGACCGGTCTTGTGACATGTTCTCTGCCTTGCTTGTTTTTTATCCCCCTCACTTAGCCTATGGGGGTGTGTCAAATATAATAGTTATAGGCTGTAGTATGTTGCATTCTAGAGGGTACAGATGTTAGGGTTTCCTATTTCTATCCAACAATTTCTTAGTTCATACATTCCGTTGTGTTTAGATTATGAGAACCTGGTAGACAATATCAATCCAGCATGTCCCATTCCACTTCACACCATTCCAATGGAAACGAGCATTGACATGTCGATTGTGGATGGCTTTATGAAACAGACGATGCATTTCAGGAAAAATATCACATGAACAAACAGGTTTGTACACATCCGTGTCAAACCCCACGAATCCCCGTACCCTTCGCCTCCTTCCTTGCATGCTGTTCTCCTCCACCCAAACTCATCTCTTGAAACAATCTCCTTATTGCCCCGCCAGAGGGAGATGTAAGACCTGCAACGGAATAACCAATGGCATGACACGCATCGGCTGACGTGCAACGGATGAAAAACTCGTCTTGCCTGTCACACACCTTCCATGTTCGCACCTCCCATGTTGGCAGGGATGATGGGTGAATGAGCGAGTGGCCATGCATGGGGAGGCATTGCAAGGCAGAGGACATGGCAGAGGAGGAGCAATCCATGGGAACATGGCAATGTGAAGCTGACTGGACACAAGCCACAAACGGTTGTCGAGTTGGAAAACAGCAATCAGCAATGGGAAGCTGGTTGGAAACATGGGAATGAGGGGAATTGACAGCAACATTGAAAATGCGAATGGATGAGAAAAAGCAGTGGAAAGATGAGAATGGATGAGAGGGTGGCAATGGGTGACCGGATGGCTGGATGAAATTGGCGATTCGAAGTTGATTGGTAGAATCCTTATCATCAATCGCATGTCCCCACACACTTACGTGTTATCAACCATCCACCCTCACTGCCTTCAATCACGCCCCACCCATCCACACCGTCATGCAACGGTGTCATGCAACGGTGTCATGCAACGACGTCATGCAACAGCGTCATGCAACGGTGTCATGCAACGGTGACATGCAACGGTGTCATGCAACGGTGTCATGCAACGGTGTCATGCAACGGCGTCATGCAACGGCGTCATGAAACAGTGTCATGCAACGGTGTCATGCAACGGTGTCATGCAACGGTGTCGCCTCCTTCGTGGGCCCACACGGGCTGGCGGGAGTGGTGCCGCCTACGCCTGCTGCGACAGGAAGGGCTCATGGCTCCAAGAGAAATTGTTCCAGTTGGTCTGTCACTACCAAGGCATGGGAGGGTCAGTACTGTGTCGTGAAGCGTGTTAACCCACGGCTTGGCAGGCATGTTTGTCGTTCGCCTTAACTCGCTGCTACTCATCATGGAGGGAGGAGAGGAGAGCATCATCGAAGCCACCTTCTTGTTCCTGCACGTCAGTTGAATCAAATCCGCCAGGAAGAATTCAAAGTTTTTTTCACCGTTGATGATGATCTCCCCAGCTCGCCATCTGCCTCACGTTGCTGATGAACGACAAGTCCGATACCAGTCTCTGGTCTCACTCAGCCTTCTCGTTCCCTCTGCGCCAAAACCTGCGACGGTATCGTTAGCAGCCTCGATTCGACCATCAACCTTGTCTTTCCTTCTTTTCCTCTTCCCCTCTAACGCTGTGGGCTTACAGGAAGAACCGTTGTGCCTCTGAACAACCTCAGTTGTGGCCCATTGGTCAGGCAGGGCGTTATACTCTCGCTCTCATCTTCTCCCCCCCTCCTCATGAGCTTTTGTAACCTTGTTCCTCGCCCTCTCCTCTTGTCTTTCCCTCACTCACTCCTGTTCCCCTTCATCCTGTCCTCATCCCCTCACTCATCTAATGTTCCCCGCCCTCCTCTCCTCGCCCCTCCCCTCCTCTCCACTTCCCCTCACTCATCTAATGTTCCCCTCCCTCTTTTCCTCATCCCCGCCCTCCTCTCTTCTTTCCTCCCGCTACTCTCATCTTCCTCCCGCCCGCCGTGCAGACAAGCTTTGGCTGTCCTCACTGTTTGTAGATGTTGCCCATCATGGGCCATCCCATTTGTGATTATGCGCTTGGCATTGCCACACCATTCAGCCACTATGTGATGTGTCAAGCAGCCTCACATGTTGCTGCTGGATGCCGGGTGGGTTGACTTGACTGTGCCTCTTGTATAAGGTAGACATGAGCAACGGCCAAACACCAAACCTGTTCAGTTCGCCCTGCACGAACATATGAAGGTTCGTGATAAGGGGACGAACCTGTTTGGTTCGCCCGAAATTTTTTGGGGATTAGGGGTGTTTGAGGTTCGTGGTAGGGGGGCGAACCCGAACATGTTCGAGGTTCGAGAGTGTGCTTTCAGTGGGCCAGCTCCTCCTTTCCGAACATCACATATGTTCGGCTCGGTTTGGTCATGAAAATGTTCGGACGAACCGAACAGGCGTTCGGAGATTTTGCTCATGTCTAGTGTAAGGATCCTCCATTCTCCAATAGAAGCTGCTAATATGCTGGTTTATGGAACATCTACAGTTGAAGTATGTGTGACTCTATCAATTCAAGTCTTTATGTTGCGTCAAAGCTGTCCTTTGTCAAACGCAAGTAGTTTGCCCTTCTTCCCATACCCCCTCTCCCCTCCCTTATTTCTCCTTCATCCCGCTTCTCTCCCTCCCCATTTCCACCCTCCCACTTCACCCCCCTTCCCCCTTCCCCCTTCCCCATCCCCACCCGTCCCCACCCCATCCCTCTCCCCACCCCCCCCCCCTCCATTCCTTCTCTCTTCCAGTGCGTCACTGCAGGTCGCCCTCACACGTTGCTCAGGCCGCCAGAGCACCGCTCTTCACCGCACCAAATCCAACAGTCAACCCAGCTGTTGTTCTCTGCTCAACATATGGAGAAAGGAAGGATATCACAAGGGTTCTGCAGCGATGGCGGCAGCAGCACTGGCATAGCCGCTGCTGTTCCAGCAGAGACAGATATATGAGTTTGGTGTGTGGGTGGGGTGGTGTGTGGGTGGGTGGGTGTGTGGGTGGGTTGAGTGTGTGGGTGGGGTGGGTGTGTGGGTGGGGTGGGTTGGGTGGGATAGGTGTGGGTGGGTTGGGTGGGGTGGGTCGGGCGGGGTTGGAGTGGGGTCAGTGAGTGCTTCCCGAATTGCCTTCCCCGATCCCTCTCTCTGTTTCTCTCCCCTCTTCTCTCCCCTCATCTCTCTCTTTCTCTCACTTCCATGCTCTTCGCTACCATGCTCGTTGCGACCATTCTCGTTGCAACCATGCTCGTTGCGACCATGCTCATTGCGACCATGCTCATTGCGACCATGCTCGTTGCGACCATGCTAGTTGCGACCATGCTAGTTGCTACCATGCTAGTTGCTACCATGCCAGTTGCTACCATGCTGATCGCTGCGCCCCAAACACCACTAGCTAGCAGACCGGCAAGGCCCAATGTAACACCCCTCGCTCTCCCTCCACCCGTGTCTTTCCCCAAGGGCTGCGCTACTCCCCGTTGCTTCTGCCCTGTCCCCCTCTTCCACTCCCCCTTCTCACTGAAATTTCCACGACTGCATGCCTCCCTCCCCTCCTCACTGAAATTTCCCCTCCTCTCTAACCTGTTGTTTCGCCTCCAACTGTACTCTGGGATTCACATTCTCTCTTTCTTCCTTCTCCTCATCAGCTCGCCTCCTCACGCGTTTCACCACCTCCCACACACCCTAAACCCTATTCCCCCTTCATACTGATATTCAAAATACCCCCGACTGTATGCCTCCCTCCTCTCCTCTCTAACCTGCTATTCACCTTCCTCCCCCCTGTATTCCGGGATTCACATCCCCTCTTCCTTCTTTCTCCTCATCAGCTCGCCTCCTCACGGCATCCACCACCTCTCACCATCTTTTCTTCCCGCATTTCGTTCACACCTCTCCCACTCACGTTTTCCTCTCCTCTCGTCCCCTCTAGTTTCTCTCTGGATCATATATACCGCCCTTCCTCCTTCCTTCACCTCTTTTTCCCCCTTTGTTTCGTTGCCCCTCCCTGTCCCACTGATGCCCCAATCAGCTGGGCGCGCTGGCACAGCTGGGCACGCTGGCACAGCTGGGCGCGCTGGCATAGCTGGGCGTGCTGGCACAGCTGGGCGCGCTGGCACAGCCGCTACAGGACAGCAAAGAAGAGCACGTGGTGCTCGTATCGTATCACAGGCGCGTGTTGCTTGTTAGCAGGCGAGTGCTGCTCGTATGGCTCTTTAGCCAAGCATGCACACATGCATAGCAACTTATTGGTGCATGTTCAAATAATGCTGACGCTTCTCTAGTGAACTGTATGCACACTGCATGTCCCCATCCCATCAGCCCAACAATCATTTTGCCACCCATCCCCAACCCTCCTTCCATCCCCCCCTCCTATCCCTCCCCAACCATTTCCCCTTCCCATCTATCCCCGTCTCTACACTGTATTTCACGAGGATTTGGCAGCACTGTGGTACTTCCCGAATGCACTGTCCCTCCTTTCCCACGCTCGTCCCCTCACCATCCCGCCATGGTCTCATCAGGTACCCCCTCTCTGCGTCCCTTCATCATCGGGAGGATCCGGCTGCGGTGCTCCAGGGAGGGAGCACGCACTGTCCTCCCCCTCTTCCCCCTCCCAGCTCGTTCCTCTCCCATGGTCGCATCAGGTCCCACTTCTCCCTGCCTTCCCTCACCATCCTCCCAGGGCGACACCCTGAGGGGAAGTGTATCACGGGAGGATCTAACAGCGCTGGCAGTGCCGCCGCCAACACGCGAGTGAGGATCTGGCAGCGGTGGTGCAGAAAACATGTTGTCCTCCCCCCTCCCCCCAGTACTTGTGCAGTAGTGTTGGTGCATGCAGAACGTACTGTTTCCCCCTTACCCCACTCGTCCTTCCCCCATTGTTGCACGCTCTCTCTTTGCCTCCTCCCATCCCCCCAGGGCGACAACATGAAGGGCAGCATGTCACGGGAAAGGATCTACCAGCCATGGTGCAAGGAGAACTGAATCCCTTCCCCTCCCTCCCAATTCGTCCCTCCCCCATTAATGTGTCGTTGCTCCCTGCCTCCCCTTGTGCCCCCACCACCTCTTTCCTCGTCCCCCACCACCCCCCCAGGGCGGCGCCATGAGGGGCAGCGTGTCGCGGGAGGATATGGCAGCCGTGGTGGCGGCAGCGCTGGCAGTGCCACCGCCCTCCCAGCAGAGACCCATCATTGAGGTGGGCGTGTGGGTGGGTGGTGTGGGCGTGTGTGTGGGCCTGTGGGTGGGATGGGCGTGTGGCGAAGGTGGGTGTACATTAGTGTGTCTAAGTGTAGGTGATTGCAGCCTAGAAACTTATCTTTCAGGGTCATCATCAGTAAGCGGACTTGGACGTGTCGATTGGCGAAGCACACGTCAGAAGCACTGCTGCCAATGCCATGGTCCATCAAGAGCCATTCTGTATTCCCCTTTCCCCTCCACCCTTCCTCCCCCCCCCCCCCCCCCCCCCCCCCCCCCCTCGCCCTACTTCTCTCTTTGTCTCTCCCCTCATCTCCCCGTTCTCTCTTGACCATGCTGATTTCCACAATGCTGATTGCCACCATGCTGATTGCCACCATGCTGATTGCCACCATGTTGATTGCCACCATGCCGATTGCCACCATGCTGATTGCCACCATGCTCATATTTCCTTGCTGATTGCTGCACCCCAAGCAACCCGGCCAGCAAACCCAAGGCCCAATTCAACACGTCTCATCTCACTCTTCCACCGCCCCGTGTCTCTCCCATCCAAGGTGGTCAACTCCGATACTCCAAGGGACTCCAACGATGGATACGATTTCTTGGAACAAATAGATGGGCTCCCGACAGAGCCAGTCCTGATCCGATATGCGGATGCCACACATGCCATTCTCGCGGGGGAAATATAATGTATGCAGAAAGTTTTTAAGATTATTTTCCGGTGACGTTGAGTAGTGCAACCAGCCACTATTCTGCTACCGTGAATGGGTCTATCATGTAGTGGACGGTGGGTTGTATAGGTGAATGGCGTGGCAGCCATGTGATGTGATGTGAAACACAACGTAGCAATGAATGAGCACCTTGTTGCAGCCTGTGAACAGTGTGTGAGCAAGTGCACCCTCGCATCAGCAATGCAAAAATAAGACTTTCTTGATCAGTGGATCTGTGCCGAATTGAAGGAACCTTATGCCTGGAGTACTGTACGTTACAGAAAGATGTGGTAGTGTTGCAGAAAAGGCATGACATTGCTGCCACTAAGTTCTTTACACAACAGCCTGCTTTGTCCCATCAGTTGGTGATGTCACCACCTCATACTGCCTTCCAAGTGCTCATGTGAAACAGGTGTGAAGGAAAACCAGTTCCTCACTGATGTGGTTTCACAGACGCTAAGTGGCAGCGTCAGCCAGGTCCTAATGCCTGGAATAGGGCAATAGCCTGCATGGGTTACTAGGACATACATATACCGGATGGGTCCATGTGTATGCCTGCACAGTGCGAGAGCGCATGCCGTTCACTCTCATCCTTCTGGCTTCAATCTGAGATTCTTGTGCCTCACACTCACCTCACCTCATCCCAGCTCCCACTCCCATCACCTCATCTCACCCTGGGTCATCCCAGACTGCACGAAATCAAGTTGAGCACAACCATCAAGCTGGCTGGACAAATGACAACGGCGGAAGTTAATGGGAGAACTGGCAATGACAAGCTGACTGGAAAATATGGAAATGGACAATTGATGTGAAAAATGGCAATAGGAAGCTGGTAATCTTCCCATGGTCCATGGGGAATGGAGATGGGAGGATAATACACCTCTGCTAGCCTCAAAACGCCCTTCCCATCCTTCCCCCTCTCCTTTCCTCCCCCCACCTCACCATTTTACCCCTTGGGAGACTTGCATTGCACAATGAGAATGAAGGAATAACAGTGGGAAGAGGGGAAACAACAGGAGAACAATAACTGGGAGAATGGCAGTGGGATGATGATAGTGAGAGCATGGAAGTGGGATCATGAGAGTGGGAACATGGCAACGGGATGGTAAAAGTGCGAACATGGCAGTGAGAGTATAAGTCAACTATAAGGCATAGACCATTTATCCCTTCCCTCCCTCACAATCTCAAAGCCACTGCTGATTCTATTTTGACAATTACTGTGGTAATTCTCATGGACATAATGATACATACCGCATATATATCATCTTATGTTGTCATACCAGTCACTCTTTCAAAGTCTTTTCATTCGGTGATTGTGTTCAGCCTGACCATTTCTGTCCATTATTGTCATTATGGTCCAGCCATCAAAATCTCTCCATGCTCCTACCATTGCACATCAGCATTTACCATGAAAATTCACCATGCTTGTTCCATTTGGGAATTGTGTATATTCCAATCAGACAGCACGAATCCAATCTGAACATGAAACATGGTCAGCCTGCCTCAAGACACTCTGTTTCGCATTCGTTCCTCCATTCCATTATGCGCATTCACCCCCATCCAAATGAAAAGATGATGCATATATTAATATTACAAGACTAGACATGAGTACTAAAACTAAAGTGGCACCCATACCATTCCTTTCTCTCCATCCACCATTCATTCCCATCATTCCCACAACATCCTGCTAGGCAGGATGGAAAAAAAGGGGCATACCCCTACCACCAGCATTCCACAGCACCCCCACCAGCTTTACCTTAGTTGCCATGGTGCCACTTATTCAAGGCTACACTGGACTAAGCTCTATTCACGTTTGATGCCTTATTTGATGTTGTCCCTTCTACTTTTACCTTTGCCACATCATGCTTTTCAGATTTTGGCATATGCTTTGACCTTGTATCAGAGTTCTTGGCAGCAACTGCAGCAGTAGCAGCGTCAACAGGGACAACAGCAGCTGAAGCCATTCTCAGTTTGGAGAGCCCGACCTTTTTTTCTGAGGTCAGGCATTTGTTGAAGCTTTTTTCACTCAATCTTTCGTGCTGGCTTTTACAGCAGGAGTTTGCACACATGCGCAGTTCGTGCTGTTTGCACTGCTGGAGCTGAAGGTGTAGACCATCACGCTCCTGTTGCTCTTGTTAGCCTCATTCTTATTGGCAGCAGTATTTTTAACCATAATCCAAGGCGATTTCTTGCCTGTGGAAGCGAGAAACTCCTCCTTTGACAGGAAAGACACGTTTGCTACATTGCTGAAGATGCTTTCAGGGTTAAGATATCGTTGACGGAATTCCAAAAGACCCAACTCGCTCATATACGAAAATTCGTCTTCAGAATCCTTGGAAATTCGTGTCCTTTTCGCACTTGGAGCAGCAGCAGCAGCAACAGCAGCAGCAGGCGTGGATATGAATAATTTATAAATAATTTTCTAAATTTAATAATTGTCACAAGATTCGGAAAGGGGGGAATGCAATAAGGAGGCATTCCCCTCTTATCCGTCGGCAGGTCCACAGACCTGCCACCTAGTCTCATTTCATCCATCTCAGTTTGAGTTGGCACACATTCTCTCTTATGCCTATAGCTCAACCCTCAACCCTACTTAACGACGTTTTAAATGCAAGACTTAACAACATGGCGAGCGGATTTGTTTCCGCAATAAACGGTCGTCCCCCTCCCGCTCGGATTAACTCCCGGAGCTCGTCAAGGCGTGGGTCACCAAGGCGAGACGATGACCGAATTTCTACTCCCGGGAGGGATCGTTCCCGTTCTCCCAGAAACGAGTCTCGTGGAGGAGTCACGTCTCTCGATTTAATTGGTGCAGCAAATCGTGCGACCAATCCTCGAAACGAAGATCAAGCGCCAACTTCTCCGACGGGCACCCGTAACAATCTCCCACGCGAACCTGCAAGCGCCACCGACGCAGGAGCAGGAACGCGCAATGACGGCACTCCTGCACCTCGCGCCAACCGTAATGAGGAGGGACCGCCTAGATTTTTCAACCAGGTCAACCCCCCTCTCGCCACTGTAACTGCCCAGGGGCGCGTGCCAGGCCAGCAGGAGAGGCACGCGCAAGTGGAGCAAGGACCCGCGCCTCAGGCCCCTCAGGCCCCTCAGGGACGCGCGTCAGTCCGAGACAGGCACGCGCCTGAGGAGCACACACCTCGAGCGCCTGCTGCACCAGCGCGCCTGGCGAATCTTTCGCCTGGCGAAAATTCACGGCGCCCGGCGCAGCAGAATCTCGACGAAATCGGGACGGCGCGTGCTGCTGCTCGTCCGGATTTCGCGGCGATGCTGGGAAATCTTGACCACACTACCCAAGCAAATCTTCTCCAGATTCTGGCGCAACTTTCTGGAGATCCTACAAGACGCGCTATGGAGCGCCCCGTTTCGCCAGCGCCGGCAAACATTCGGGCTACGCCTTTGCGGAGCGACCATATGGAGTATCAGAATATTAACAACCTGCCGCACAACTTCAACGCGCTTCACCAAATGTCGGAGCTTCTTGCGATGCTCCAGCGCAGTCACGCCAACGGCCGGCCTGCCCCTGCGGAGAACCATCGCCCAACAGCTCGCCACGTCAAAGCCCCCGAGGCAGCCGAGGAAGAGGAGGACGGCGAACACGGCATTTTCGAGGAGATGAATGAAGGTAATGGCCCTCGCTTCCTCCCGCATGCTCATCCTCCACACTCCTCATCAGCGCTTATCCCAATCCCCCCATCAGGTCCCCAACTGCGATCGGCGCTCGTTAAAAGCAAAGGAGTTCACACTCAAATGTTTGGTTTTGAAAGGATTCAAATTATTGCTCGTCACGCGTTGAGCGTTTTGCCCTCCGAGGGAAGCGAGCAAGCGGCTCTCTATATAAAAGAGATTGAGCAAGAGGCTGAGGAAAATATTATGTTTTTATTCACCGCTGACCAACGCGGGTTTGATGTGGCAAATGTGGCTTTAAAGTTTAAATACGGGAAAGTCGTTGAGGATAAGATGGTGAGATCCGCTTCTCATATCGTGGCTGCAATGAAAAAGAGTCGCCCCAACCGCGGCTCCTCCTTTCCCCAGCGGTTCAACCAGAATAACAGCGGCAGGGGTAACGGTGATCGTTCTTGGAACAAGTGGCGCTGGGACGGGGATGGACGTTGCTTCCTATGGCGCGAGCCCGGCCACGGCATTGCTCAATGCCCCCAGCGCGAGCAAGGGGCAAACCAGCTTGCACGCATAGTCAAATTGGTTTTTTTGCATATCTTCAAGTGAAATGCCTTGTATGGCGGATGTGGAAAAATGTTTTTGAATGACATAAGCTTAAAAGATAGGAACAAATTTTACAATTCTTTCACGAGCTTGGTAGCCTTATCTCTCCCACTCCCAGGGTCAGCCTTTGATATACATATATATATATAAAAAAAAAAACTAATCTAATCTCTCTCGCATTTAATTGTTGCCACCCACCCTTCAGGCACACCAATGCGCCTCGTGCTTTCACATCCAATACACGCTCACATGCGCTGTCGGTTACGCAAATGCGTTTCCTGGTGGTCCACATGGTGTGACAGCACTTTCATATTTTCTGTCATCTCGCGTGGTTATCAGTTACCATGGGCAAGCGCCGAGCCCGCACCTCGCCGTGCACCTAACCACCCGGGTGCGACCCAGTATAGCGACTTCACCACAAAGGCAATTGCCAAGCTCGTAGCTACTGGCGCGGCTCGTGTTCTCCCGTCGAGAGCCAATAATATATGTTCCAGTCTGCTGAACGTTGTCGTACAACCAACCAAGAAGCGACTCATCCTTGACTTGAGGCACGTGAACAGTTTCTTGCGCACATCTAAATTTCGCTACGAGGGATTGAACCGCATTCCCGATCTCGTCCAGCAGGGTGATTGGTTATTCACAATTGACCTCAAATCCGGATACCATCATGTCGATATTCACCCTCGCTACTGGCATTTTCTTGGATTCTCTTTCCACGGTGTGGAATATCAGTTTTGCTCGCTCCCCTTTGGACTCGCGACCGCACCTTTCGTATTCACTCAACTGATCAAGCAGCTTGCCAAACGGTGGCGAAGCCAGGGCATTCGAGTTGTTCCTTACGTCGACGATATCCTCTTTATTAGTGCGAGCCATACCAGCGCGCTGCGTTCTCAAAGCGTCATTCTCGAAGACCTTCAATCCGCTGGCTTCCTTTTGAAAACGAAAAAACCCAGCTCGAGCCAGTGCAGCGCCTCAAGTTTCTTGGCCTACTCCTGGACACCAGGGACCTGTCTTTCTCGGTCGACCCGGAGCGACGCACTCGCCTTCTTGACGAGATGCGTCTCACTGGCTTGGAGGGCAATAACAGACGTCTCATCCCAGTTCGTGGCCTCGCGCGCATCACCGGCATGCTGGCATCCATGTCGCTCGCGCTCGGCACTGTGGCCCGCGCATTCTCTCATAATCTGCTCACACAGATAGCAGAATGCCCGTCTTGGGGTCACCGAGTTCTCCTTTCCAATAGCTCAGTCGACGAGCTCTAGTTCTGTATGGCGCGCTTCGATGAGTTTAACGGCTCTCGATTTCATAACCCACACACATACGAAGCAGTCATCTACGTCGACGCGAGTGACATTTCCTGGGGAGCAATACTTTCTGATCTCAAAACTAAGTTACAACCGCTCTCTGCTCCCATGCCCCACGTGTTGTCCGCTACCTCTAGCACACTCCGTGAAATCACCGGTATTCTCTGGGCACTCACCTCCTTTGCCCCGGACATACGCGACCAACATGTCCTACTGCGCAGCAACAGCCAAGCTGCCTACTACATCATGCGGAAGGGAGGTTCTCGACGTCTGGAGATTACCCTTGTCTGTCGCGCGATCATTCAGCTCTGCGTCATCTACCGCATCCGTTTGACGGTTCAATGGATTCCTCGCGAGCTCAATACGGAGGCTGACGACCTGTCCAAGGTCATCCACTACGATGACTATTCGCTTCATTCTCCTTGGTTTCGCCTTGTCGATCGGCGATGGGGACCCCACACGATCGACCTGTTCCCGACATCCACCAACCACCAGCTGCCTCGCTTTTGCACGCTCGTCTTCCACCCCCGTGCAGTGACGCAAGATGCCTTCTCCATCAGTTGGCATGCGGAGAATGCGTACGCATTCCTGCCACCATCATTGATCCCAGCGGTTATCTCACATGCACGACACTCGCTCGCTAGGCTAACGCTCCTTGTCCCTCGCTGGCCTAGTGCCTTCTGGTGGCCCATTATATACCCGGACGGTATGCCCCCTTCATACTAGACCATCTGGTGCTTCCCCTAGGTGCTTCTTGTCTCGCACTAGGTAGTGATGTTCGTGCGTTCGGTGGAATCGGGCTACCTAACTCGCCCCTCATTGTTCTTTGCATGGATTTTTCTCTGTAATAAATCGTTCCTGTGTGGCAGGATCGGATATTTGTAGACTTCTTCTGGACCTGCTGACACTCACGGTGGATCTTCGTGCCCAATCCACCATTTGCACGTACGAGCCATACTGGTGGCAGTACCGTGCTTTTTGCACAAAGCACTCACTCCAATCGCTTCCGGCCAATGATCTCACCACAGCCCTCTTCCTTTTGCAATCAATCCGATTGGGTGTGACGCTATCAGCCGTTCGTTCCATCTGTTCTGCCATCTCCTGCGCTCACTGGCTCCTAGGCGCGCCATCCCCTATCAAGGGACCACTTTCCTCACACGTCAAGGGTTACGCCCAATGCACGTGTGCCCGCCCCCACCGGGCGAAGGACCCCGTGCCCCCCTCCAAGATCTACGACATGTGTGACGTCTACTTCTCCTCGCGGCACCCTGCCACCTTTCAAAAAGGTCTCATCCCACTCCTCATGTTCTCTGCCTTCTTGCGCTTCTCCGACCTCGTGGCCCTTCAGTGGCATCACATCGAGTTTGATGCAGACAGCATGTGGCTCTTCGTTCCCCGATCCAAGACTGATCAAAGTGGTGCCACAGCTTGGGTTCCCGTTGCAACGTCGGACGCTCGCCACTGTCCCGTTGCTCGCGTTAAGGAATTTCTCTTCTTGGCGGGATTCTCTCGCGCGTCCATGGGCTCCCTCATTCGCGTCCTGGTTCCGGCGCATCACGGTCAGACTCCTCCCCGTCTTACACTACTGTACGGAGCTGGCGCCGCGAGGCCTTTACTCGTGTCGGTTTGGATCCTACCACCCTCGGGACGCAATCTTTTCGCAAGACGGCGGCCACCCTCGCTGTTGATGCTGGTGTTCCCGACCGCCTTTTCAGGGCGCTCGGGCGGTGGCGCAGCGATGGTGCGAAGGAGATGTACATCACACAACTCGACTCAGAGTTAATTTGCGCCTCCCGGCTCATGCAAGACCCGACTCGGCAGAGCGCTACTGCACGTAATGCGGCCACCGTCAGCCGGGTTCGCCACCGTCCGTTGCCATGATGTTCCGTTGTCCTATGACGACTGCATTGCAGACTCCTTGTAGAGTCTTGTCACAATATGAATGATTTCGAAATAAATTTCTAAATTTAATGATTGTGACAAGATTCGGAAAGGGGGGAATGCAATAAGGAGGCATTCCCCTCTTATCCATCGGCAGGTCCAAAGACCTGCCACCTAGTCTCATTTCATCCATCTCATTTTGAGTTCCCGCCCGCCGCACCCCTAGGACGCTTAGACGCTTAGATAATCTGTTCTGCTTGTTGTTGTTGTTGTTGTTGATTTATACATTGTGTGCCATGTAAAAAATTGATGATGATAATATGACGACTGCATTGCACACTCCTTGTAGAGTCTTGTCACAATCACTTGCGTGCTGCATCGCTCCAGCTGGGAGAGGCGGAAGCGGAGGCAGCAGGAAGATAGTGGTTTTTCAGTCCTGCTGGAATGCATCCGTGGTCCTCTTCCCAGTAGAAGAGGTCGTCGGGGTCAGCCTTGCTGCAGGCAGCGAGGGTTTTCACGGCCATCAGCAGTCAGAGAACTTTGAGCCTTGAGGAAGGGGGTAGCAACGAGTTGTGAGTACAGAACGATGTGATTCAACTGAAATGATATGGGTGTCAGACTGTGTTTTGTACTCGTGGCTACGAAAGTAGTCCGTCCTGACAGGATGCTGCTAAGCGATTCGTATACGAACAAGCCACTCTAGTTGACGGCAAAAAAGGGGTTCCGTTGGCAACGGGTATTCCAGGTACGGTGCCGTACCTAGGGTACCGCTTTGGTGCTGTCCGTTTGCCACGGAGTTGTCAGTTTGCCAGTTCCTAATGGCATTCGAAGCAAAGAATGTAGTTTTCGAAGTTTCCTCAAGGTCTACAGAATATGACGTGGCAATCGATGTCGTGGAACTCTCCACGGTGGTTCAGCCGGGTCACCACTTTAGAAACAGTGGCTCGAAATGCTTCAGGCTAGGCCGCCGTAGCATGAGGTAAGACAGTCACACCTGGGCTTTGCAGTTCCACGTCATAGTTTTATGCGATTCCGATTCAGGTTAGCCCTCTGACCGGGGGGAATGACATGGCGTTTGGACGCCATGGGCTGATGACGAAATCACTGACACGACCTGGGATAATCGATCTCGACCCAAGGGCCAGGACGCGCTGCGGCTAAGCGGACAGTGGGAGCGTTGAGGCTCGGCTAGCGGGTTTTGCGAGAGGGAGTTGGGGTTTGGTCCTCTAGCGCTGCAGTGAGCCACAGCAAGGTCGACGGTGTGTGAGAAAGCTGTAGGCGAAACCAATTGAAGTTCAGTTCTGTTACACCAATGGTTACTGTGAGAATTGAGGTCTTATTTCACAATATATGGTTCGAAACAACCAATACTCAACTCTCAAAACTCTCAAAAGGTAATATTTGTTGCGGACATGAGTTGCAAATAAGAAAAACACAGCTCGAATAACAGGCGGTGCTGTTATCCAGGATTCACTCGCACCGCTTCCCATAGGGATGATGCACACCACACCACTACTTACCGTTCAAAGCCCTGTGGCATGTACCCTTGCCTGGGATGTCAAAAATTCTATCAACATGTGTCATCCATTGGATTCCCTTTTATGAACTGCCCACAACTGAGAGTTTGACAGGATTGGATGACCAGTGCATAAAGACAGGCGAGCTCATTGAAAGTCGGTAGAACCTGCCAGCAGAGAGGAATGGGGGCTGGTAGGTTGAGACTGTGGCCGCGGCCGCTGTGCTCCTTTGCAAACCCGCACTGCCCGCGGCGTCAAGCAGAGGCGGACAGGGGGAGCAGCACGCGCAACCGACGGGACACGCGGCACGCGGAGAGAGCGGGTGGGGAACGGATACGCAAAGAGAGGTGGGAGGTGCGAGTGCGTGACAAGAGGGCGGAGACGTGCACGAGAAGGGCTGCTGTCCATCCGCGCCTCCGCGATCTCCACGTCGAGATCCTCCACGCGGAGAGCGAGGAGGAAATTGGGGAGGAGGGTGTGGACAAGGCATGGGGCAAATGGGGATGAGTCATGGATCCGTTGGTACGCGAAATCAGATTCGCACATGGCATACCGCTAGGAATCTGGAAAGGGGATGCGCATGCGAATATTCCACGCAATCCAAGGGTGCTCCGCGAGGGCGGCTGACGCGCCGAGATCGACTCGTCTGTCATCGCGCTAACGCCTCACTCCATCGCGCTAGCCGCTAGCGGAAAGCCCCCGACCCTCCTTCCCGCATAACCGCGTGCTAACTCTGGTTCTCCGCGTGGGCGTGACACTGCTTCCACTCTTCTCCGCTCTCCGCGAAGACCTCATCGCGCTCAACATTTCCCGCTCTGCTTCTCCTCCGCGCAAATCCCCGCCAAGCAGTTAATACGCGGATCGGCGGAGGTCTGACTAAACATGAACATGAGCTGATCGACGAGCAACGCGCGATCCGGTGGATGCTGGTTCAGTTGAGGTAACGATATGCTCAACGGGCTGGCTGCTGATGATGCTACGGGCTCCATTCGAGGTGCGACGGTTGCGGAGATGGACAGACAGCAGCCGGAGCCAAGTTAGTGCCGAGGTATGGGTGGGGCATGCAAAGGGGATGGGCGAGGTTGGTGGAAGGGCCAGGGATGGGCGACGGCAGGCAGCACGGCTGCGAGGGTGTGGGCCTGGCCCCCGTGGTGCCACATGTGCATGGCAGGCAGGAATGGGAGACACGCAATGGACTGGCTGGGGGAAGAGGGAAATGACAACGAAAAAGCAATAAAAAATGGCAATGAGAAAGGGACTTGCAACTGACAATGGCAAGCTGATTGGACGGAATGGAATGAGGAAGCGAATGAAAAAGTGGCAGTGGGAACTTGGCAGCAAGACAAGTGACAATGAGAACTGAAATTGGTGGACAATTGAGAAGACTCAGCAAACAACGTAGAAGACGAGGGAACAATACTTATCGAAAGTTGAATGTGAAACTGTAAAAGAGAAAGAAGGCACTGGAAAGTTGAGTGAAACCGGCTATGAGAAACGTAGCGAGTTTTAGTTGACTCGTAGAGATGCAGGAACATGAGAAGACTTGACTTGACAAAATTGTGACTGAGAATTGAAGGGGACTGAGCCGATAATTAGCGAAAATAATCGAAGATGACTGAGCGAATGAAAGCGAGAACAATGGGAGACTGACAATTAGCAATTAACAAGAATATCATACGCTGGAACCATGGGAGTGAGAAGATGATTGGAAACAAGGCAATGGGTTGAACAAAATGGGATCATGCGGATAGGATAATTAGAATGCTATCAGGAGAATGAGCGGTGGGAATGAAGAAGACATAACTGTGGAAAAATGGATATTGTGTATGGGGAATGAAATGGGAGGCATGACATGCACAATTGAGCTAGAAGGCTTGTGCAGGCAACTAGCATGATTTGACATGCCAGAATGAATGCCACGAGGGGATTGACGGAGAAGTAAGGGAGGGGACAGGAATGGCTTTTCCTTGCGATAGCTCACATGAAAGGGGAAGTCGGGTGGATCATAAGAAATGGTTGGGGAAGTACAGTAGGGAATCTGGCAGTAGGGAATCAGGCAGTGGGGAATCAGGCAGTGGGGAATCAGGCAGTGGGGAATCAGGCAGTGGGGAATAAGGCAGTGGGGAATCAGGCAGTGGGGAATCAAGCAGTGGGGAATAAGGCAGTGGGGAATCAGGCAGTGGGGAATCAGGCAGTGGGGAATCAGGCAGTGGGGAATCAGGCAGTGGGGAATCAGGCAGTGGGGAATAAGGCAGTGGGGAATCAGTCAGTGGGGAATCAGGCAGTGGGGAATCAGGCAGTGGGGAATCAGGCAGTGGGGAATCAGGCAGTGGGGAATCAGGCAGTGGGGAATCAGGCAGTGGGGAATCAGGCAGTGGGGAATCAGGCAGTGGGGAATCAGGCAGTGGGGAATCAGGCAGTGGGGAATCAGGCAGTGGGGAATCAGGCAATGGGGGATCAGGCAGTGGGGAATCAGGCAGTGGGGAATCTGCAGTGGGGAATCTGCAAAGGGGAATCTGCAGTGGGGAATCTGGCAGTTAGTAACATGAATGAAGGAGAAACTTCACAGAGGGACTGACGATGGGAGAAATGAAGTGACATCAGAATTATGGCAAACAGTATACAAAGGAAAACGATGATTGCCGAAACCAACAGAGGGGCTGATTTTGTACTTTCCTTAGGCAGCTCATATGGGATTGGTTGATTTATTGAGACTCAAAACCCGCCTCATCACACGGGGGGTGAAGGTAGGATTATAAGAAACGGCAGTCGGAACAGAGAAATGGGGGATGGACAGTGTGGTGTGGACACTATCTGTGGGGGGTGTCGGAGACTCCTCTTCGGTACCTGCTCTTCTGCTTGCTTGCTTCATCCTTCCTCTCCTGCTCTCCAGCTCACCGCCTCTGCCCAAGGAGACCTGTCTCCTTGCCGCCTCTACCTTCCTTCTCTTGTCTGTCTCCCTCCTGCTTCCTTCCTTGTTGTGCTCTGCCTCAGTCACCACCACTCGCCATCTCTCGGCCCCCACCCCAACGTCCAAGGTATCTTGCTTTGCTTTCCTGAGGTACACTTCCTGCTCCAGCCCCACGCCCTTCAGTACTCTCCTGCCTGCCCCTTGCTGCTGCCGCTGTTCATAGCGCCTGGCATCTCTCAGCTGTGCTGTGTGTAGGTTCTCCAATGCAGCCGGCATCATCACCCGCATGTACCTTGCTCTAGCGTCTGACAGCGCCACCCAGTTGTCTATGGTGTCTGCCGTCACTGTGTCTGTGAGGACCCGGGTTGCCCCCACTGGCAGCACCGGCTCACATCCATAGAGGAGGCTGTATGGGGAGTGGTCTCTCAGGGCCGCCTGTTTCCCAAACCTGTATCCTGCTGCAATCCAGTGCAGTTCCTCATCCCAATCCCGCTTCCTCTTCTCTCCATATGCCCTCAGTCCCCGCTTCAAGGTTTGGACTAGGCGTTCTGTCAGCCCATCGCTCTGTGGGTGGTAGCGAGAGGTGCGCCTGTGAGTGATCCCCGTCTCTTCCAGCAGCGTCTTGAATTCCCCTTGGAACTCGGTCCCCTGGTCTGTGAGGACTTCTGCACATGCCCCAAATCGGCACATCACCTGTTCCTTGAATGCCGCTGCCACCTGCCTGGAGCTCTTGCTCGAGATTGCCCTCACCTCCAGCCACTTGCTCACATGCTCCACCATGAGCACGATGTATCGCTTACCCCCCCGGCTCAAGGGCAGTTCCCCGGCCAGATCCAAGGACCACCTAAAGCCTAGGCCTTGGATGGGCAAGGACTGCAGCTCGGCTTTAGCTTGGCTGAGGTTTGCCCTGCTCCTCTGGCATGCTTCACAGCCCTCCACCCAGCCCTTCACTTGCCACCGCATTCCTTCCCACCACCACCCTGTCTTCAGCAGCTGCACTGTCCTCTCATGTCCGTAGTGCCGCAGCTTCGTGTGCACCTCTTTGATCACTGCTTCCCTGTCGCTAGGTGCTGGCACCAACTTCCAACCATCCTCGGTTTGGATCTGCAACTGCTGCTGATACCATCTTTAGTGGTGCCCCCTAGCCCTCACTCTCTCCGTCATTTCCTCATCCTCCCCTGTCTCCCCTTTCACCCACCGCATGGCTTGCTCGTCTTCCCAAATATCTGCCGGCCCCTTGCCCCCTTTTCCCCCACCCACTTCTACCTGTCTGGCCAGCAGTGTTAAGGTCACGCTCGGTTCCAGCTGTGGGGGGTTTCGGGAGAGGCCATCCACGTGCTGTAGAGTCTTCCCAGGCCGGTGCTTGATCTTGAAATCGTATTCCTGCAGCTTCATCGCCCACCGTGCGTTCCTGCCTGTCAGTCCTGGCATCGTCATCAGCCATGTCAGTGGCTGGTGATCCGTCACCAAGGTGAACTCCCGTCCCTGCAGGTACACTCTGAAATGTCCCACTGCCCATACTGCCGCTAGTCCCTCCCTTATGTATGAGCTGTATTGCGCCTCAGCCGAGTTGCAGCTCCTGCTTGCGTAGGCTACCACCTTCTCCTCCCCTTCCACCTCTTGGCAGAGTATCCCTCCCATTCCTTGGCTGCTCCAGTCGGTGTAGAGGGTGAATGGCTGGTCCGCTACCGGCAGTCGTAACACGATTGCCGTCTTCACTGCTGTCATAAGGTCCTGCAGGGCTCCCTTTTGAGCCTCCCCCCATTCCCACGCCCTATCCTCCCTCAGCAGCCCATTCAACGCTGTTGCTCGTTTGCTGAAGTTGGGCACGAACCTCCTGTAGTAGCTAAGGAAGCCTAACACCGCCCTCAGCCCTAACTTGTCCTTTGGCTCTCTCAGCCTGTCCAATACCTCTACCTTAGCCTGCTGGATCCCAATCTGTCCTCCCTTCACCTCGTATCCCAGGTACTGCACTGTCTCCTCACCCCACCTGCACTTCTTGGGGTGACATGTGAGTCCTGCTGCTTCTATTGCCGCCAGTGTCCTCTCCACATCTTGCAAGTGCTGCTGTTCTGTGGCACTGAAGATCACTACGTCGTCTATGTAGCATGCCGCACACTCCACCTCCCTCAGCACCGCATCCATAACCCGCTGAAATACTGCCGATGCGTTCCTCAGCCCGAATGGCATGTACAGCCATTCGTACAGCCCATCCGGCCCATGGAAGGCCGTTTTCTTGATGTCCTCCTCCCTGATCTTGATTTGGTTAAACCCCTGCCGCAAGTCCAGCGTGGTGAAGAAGACCCCATCCGCCAGCTTGTCAAATATCTCTTCCGCCATGGGCATGGGATACCTGTCCGCTACTGTGATCTTGTTGAGCGCCCGGTAATCCCCGCACATCCTTCTGCTCAGGACCTTCCCCGTTAGGTCCTTCCTTGCAGCTACCACTATGGGCGTGGCATATTCCGACTCCGACCGCCTAATCAACCCGGCCTCCAGCAGCTCCTTGATTTTCTCTTTGCAGACTTCCTCATCCCCGTGCGGCATCTTCCTCCTCCGGTGGAACACAGGCTCCGCACTGCTCAGTTTCAACTCCATCTCCTTCACCTTGCACCTTCCCAACTCCTGCAGGTTGAAGGCGAAGCACTGTCGGTGTTTGGTCAGAAGCTGCAGCATAGCTTCCTTCCCTTCCCTACTCATCGCCTCCCCTACCTTCCACGCCTCTTCCTCCTTCTCCTGGCATGCCCACGCTCCCTGAGGGCGTGGCTCCATGCCCCCTTCTCCTTCCTTCTGCCCCCAGCTCACCACTGTCTCTCTCCACATCCGCTGGACCAGCCATCTCATCATGTTGCCGTCCATTGCGTTCCCTAGTGCCCTCCTCCTGCTGGCCTCGCTCACCCCAGGAGCCGCCGTTGCATTCTTCCCATATCCCAAGGCCAGCTCCCGCTCCAGCGCGGTCGGCTCCTCCCACCACTTCTTCCTGTGATCATATATGAGTCCTGGATCTGCTTCCCCTGCTGCCCATGCATACCCTGCCGCTCCTGCATACGTTACCAGAGTGGGCAGCGCCCGCCGCTCCTGTCCTACCTGATTTCAGGGATAATGCCTGCTGTACCCCTTCCGGCACACCGGCGCTGGGGTCCGTCCTGGCTCAAGGATATCCTGCACCTTCCTTCCCGGTGCCCTTCTCACCCCTTCTATCTCTTCCTGCAGCTTCGGTGCTGGGACTATGTTCTGCCAGTACATTCTCAGTCGGTGAGCAAGTGACCCCATTCTGGCCGCATCACTGCTCACCCCTTCTCCCAACTGCTCCTTGATCCTCTCCCGTACCAGTCTTATTGGCTCCCTGCTGTCCCCTGCTAAGTCCAAGTTTTCCAGCAGGTATGCCACTCTGCCCTGCCTCTCTTGCAGCCATTCCAGTATGCGGAAGAGATCCTCCATCAGCTGTGTCCTCGGATCCCCCCTTCCTCTCCCCTTGCCCGCCCATGACACCCCTTGGCACTCCCATCCTGCCACCACCAGATCCACCTGCTCCCAGCTGGCCACCTCCGCTTCTGTCAGCCGTGCCACATCATGACTGTCTCCCTTCATGGCTTCCTGAATCACCCTCACACTCAGGAGCTCTGGGAACTCTGCCTGCAGCTTCCATGCGTGATGCTCAGCCATCTTCCTCACCACTGGCGCCTGCTCCACATACACCCACTTTTGCACCGCAATCCCACTCCTCACCACTGCTGCTAATCCCGCCCCAATCCCTCCAAACAGCTCCACCAAGCGGATGGGCTGCTGCCAGTCACTCTGCCGCCTCGGCTCATCCATCATCTTCATTCTGGGCACTCCCATGGTCCCGCCCATTCTCTTGTGGTCCTCTGCCTCTCCCGTCTCCACATCCTGTCCCGCCATGGCCTGGTACGCTCTCTTGAGATCTATCTTCACAAATCGTACTGGCAGCTCCCCTAGTGGCCCCTCTTTCTTCCAGTACCGCGTTCGGAACGCCACCCTTTCCGTCCACGTGCAGATGGTCATGCCCACCGCGAACTCCAGCTCTGTACCCACTAACACGTCAAAATCCTCGGACTCCGAGATGCCACACTTCATTCGGATCTTGGTTTCATGCTCCCCTCCTGGCAGTAGTGTCACCTCTATGGGTGCCCGAGAACAGGGCATCCACTTCGGCTTCCCCCCTTCTGCTGTCATCACCAACATCCCCCTTTTCACATGCCTTTCTGGAGCCAAGAGCCCCAGCCTCTCAGCCATCCCCTTGCCCAGCATCACGCTCTGTGCTCCTGTGTCTATAATGGCAATCTTCACCTTCTCCCCTTCCACTTCCATCGCCCCTTCTTCTAGCAGCAACACTGAGGTCTGACACGCCAGCCTCTCCTGAGGGTGTCGTGCCGGCGGTGGAACCAACCCTGGATCCTCTGGTTTCTGCCCCTTATCCCGGGCCTTCCTGCTCTGCTCCTGCCTGCCGTCCTTCCCCCCGCTCCTCAGCCCCATCTCCTCTCGTCCTCTCTATGCCATGAGGGCGCACTGCACGTCCTGCTCTACCTCTTCTCCCTCCTCGTCTCTAGCGTACATCCCTGCCTCTGCCCCCCATCTCGGTCCCGTTGCCTGTAGCTGCGCCTGCAGCCTGCTGATCTGCCGCTGCAACTCCTCTGGGCTCCTCCTGGCTCCTCCTTCCCTCTGATAGCAATCCTTGGCCTCGTGCCCCTTCTTCTTGCACACCTCGCACCTGGCAGCATCAGGACATTCTCGCTTGCGGTGGCCCGGCTTTCCGCACCCATCACAGTTCTTGCAGTCTCTGCGGAGATGTCCTGGCTGTCCGCAGCGGTGGCAGCTCCTGGTCTTTGCCCGTGTCTCTCCTCGCTCCTCTGCCTTCCCTCGCTCCTCTGGTATCATTGCTGCCGCCCAGGTCGGCCTGCCGGTTCTCTCCAGCTGTCTAGGTAGGTATGCCTCGTACTTCCTCTGTGCGAGCTCCACTCTTTCGGCTAGCTCGAACACCTCATCCAATCTTGCATCTGCGCCCAGCTCATACACCTTCATCCGCAGCCCGCATCCCAGCGCCTCGTCCAGCCCCCCCAGGAACTTACTGATCAAGAGACTACTATCCGTGCATTTCACATCCTCCGCTACGTTGATCAGCCGGTTATAGTATGCCAGCATTGACTCAGTCCTCCCTCGCTTGAATTCCTGAAATTCCCTTATCCTTTCCGCCGTGTGTCCTGGGAACTGCCGCTGCAACCGCTCCAAGAACGCTTCTGTGGGGTCTTCTCCGTACCTCCCTGCCCTCCACAGCAGCTCCTCCATCCTCATACGGTACAGAGTCTCGGCTTCCCCATCCAAGGTGTTGGGCAGGCTCAAGAAGAAGTCTATGGGGTCCATGCCATTCCTGTCACACCGATACTTCACGTTCCCCACTTGCATCAGATAGTTCTTGAGCGACGGCCCCTCCCTCTGATCGCCTGAGAATCTGGCCGGCACCTCCACCCTTGTCGCCGTGGCCGCACCCCCTCTTCCCTCGCCCCACGACTCACTTACCCCTCCCCGCTGTCTCCCATACCCCCCTTTTTGCCCCGCTCGTTCTAGGCCTTCTCTGGCCATTCGTGCCCGCTCAGCCCCTTGCCCAAGCTGCCTGTCTTGGCCCTGCTCTCCAACTGCTCTCCGCGCGTCTCCCTTGACTGGCCCCACTGACCCTCTTCCCTCCCCGCCCGTTCCCATCGTCACGCAGGCGAATAATGACTCTGCTCCCATTCCCGGTGGCCGGCTTCACGCGGCTGACGTCTCGCTGGGGTTGGCGACCATTCCTCCCTGCCCTTGCCCTGCTGCCGTGCGCCTGGCTGCGTGCGGTCTGCTTCCTCCCGCCTTCCTTCTCGCCAACGACGCTGGTCGGGCGACCGCGACACCCCTCTGTGCCCTGCCCCCCACTACTGCCGCTCGTGCGGTGAGCGTGATCCTTCTTCCCGTCGCCCCTCCCAGTGCCGCTGTGTCTTTGGCGAGCGATGCTCTCTCCCACGGCTTCCTCCAGGTGCCCGCGGTGGCGCCGCCGAGTGAACCACATTCTCCTCCCTCCTCCCCGCTTTCCTGCCGCGCCTCCGTACCGATCGGCCCTCGGCGGCGGTTCTCTGGGCGAGCGCGAGCTTCCGTCCCTCGTCTCCGCTCGCCGACGCGGAGTTCCTGTCGTGCGCCTGTCCTCTGCACCGCTTCGTCCGCGCGTTCCCCGCGACTGCATCGTCCGGGCCCCTCCCTCACGAATCCGGACTTCCTGCTGCAGCGCGTCGGGGGCGTATCTCCTTTCTAGACGCTCGGAGTCCGCGGCACGTGCCCCCTCCTCTCGCGCCTCTCCCTCTTCTTCTTCTGCTGCCGCTGCGGTGTCGGCGTGTTCCGCGCTGGGCGCGTGCTCTCCCTCCACGGCTCCGCTCGGTACGTGGGGCCCCACCGGCGCTAGATCGTTGCCCTCCTGCTGAGGGTCACCGTCTTCTTGCTCGTCACCGTGCTCCCGCTCGCCGCCGTACTCCGGCTCGTCGCCGTGTTCCTGCTCGCCGCCATACTCCGGCTCATCGTCGCGTTCCTGCTCGTCGCCGTACTCCGGCTCGTCGCCGTGCGCCCGCCCGCCGCCGTACCCTTGCCAGTCATCGTACTCCGGCTCGTCGCCGTACTCCTACTCATCCTCCTTGTCACTCTCCTCCCGCGTCCGCTCAGCCCGCGGATCCTGCTCGACCTGGCGGACGTCAGAGCCTTCTCCCCGCACCCGCGGGAATCCCTCCCTCCCACGCCAGCGGCCTCGCTCATCACGTCGCCGGCCTCCCCCTTCTGGGGAGCGGAACACCCCTTCGTCGCGCGGGTGGCGGTGCTCGTCGCCGCGTAGGTGGAACGTGTTTCTCCGCCATTGCGCGCCGTTCGTCGGTGTGCCGAGTCTGCCGCCGCCCGTTACGCCCAGCGCCACCCTTCTCTCTCGGCTGGCCGGCACGACGGGGATTCTGTCTGCCCGGAAGGCCGGTCTTCGGGGCGATCTCTATAGGGAACGCCCACGCTCCTGCGAGCGCTCATGCCGCGGCCCTTCCTCCTCTCGACGAGTGAAGACCCGGCCCCAACGCAACTCATATTTATCCATGCTACGTGCCTACGCTTGTTTCCTAGTATGAACGGGATCTCTCCCTCACCCCTCAGGTTCCCTCCTGGTGGTGTATCACTGCGTGCTAAGAGCTGAATGTGCTAACTTCCACTAATATGAGAGAATACTAGGAAACAAGCATCGAGTGAGTGACTGTGCGTGAGTTTACCCATCCCTGCTTCAGGCTGCACATTTCCCAATGTGCGGCTCGGGGTATGGATTTGGTTTCCAATTTCGCCCCTCGGTGCTTTCCCTCGTGATTCCAACCGTCCCTTTTCTGTTTCCCCCTCTTTTGCCTATTGCAACCGTTACTGTACTACATTCCGTGCCCTATGCTAGTGTAGCTATATATGCATTTAAGTGCATATGTCCTAATATGTTATTCTGCCCCCTACACCCTTATTCTACTGTTATTGCATCTGCATAAAGTGCATATGCGGTGACAGGGGGGACATGACAGTGGGAGATGATAGGGGGAGATTGAAAGTGGGGAGATGATAGTGGGATCATGGCAGTTGTAAGGTAACATGGGTGAGTATGAGTAGTGGGAAAATGACGAAATCAGCATGACATGCCACTACCACTACCCCACAAATACCATAGCCATGTCATTTCTTGTCACTGCGAGCATCACAGTTGCATGATGAATGTGAAAGTTACATAATGGGAACATGACAGTTGCATGCCATGATGGGAGTGGAAGTACGTCAATGGGACAGATGGCAAAGAGGGAGGTGGCTGTGGAAAAGGGGCAATGGGAAAATGACAGCGGGGATGCAATAGGAATCTGACTAGGAAGGTGGTGCACGATAGGCATTGGGCGGCACTGGAACAGAATAGGGGGCGGGGAAAATGGTGAAAGCAAGATGACAAACAACAACGGGCCAACTTCAAACCACTCCACGCTCACCTCCTCCTGCTTCACTTCCCCATTCCCCCAACACCAGCTAGTACAAGAGAGTGAAACCGCATCTGATCTTTGCAATATAAATTATTACAAGATGCTAAGACCACAAATACCAAACTAGGAGATCCTAGCTACTACTATGACCATGGACTCTATTGCAGCAGATCCATCGCCATCCTCAGCCACGAGCCTCCCCACAGCACATACCACCTTCCGGCTGACCACATGCCTCCACCTCTCCTGCCATCTCTCCCACAACACCCTGCAAGCAGGGTGCAAAAAGGGGTAAGTCCCGCCATGCGCCTGCCACCACACCCCACCAGCCATGCTCATCCCACCCACACCGCACCACGCCTTCCTCCACGTGCCATTTTAAAGGCTCTGGATCTGCTTGTAGCTACAAATGATGCTACTGCTATTGCTGCTGCTGCTGCTGCTTCACCGAGCACTGCTTCCCAGGAGTGCTGCTGTGCGTGGCTTGGGAATGCGAGTGGCGGGCACTGCTGCTGCTGGAGCAGCCGGTTTACGAGTGCTGTGAGGCGCAGCGTGCACTGCCTTAGCCGCTGCAGCCGTGTGTGCTGCCCTGCTCTGCCCAGGCTGAGGGATTAGAGTCGCACCACCGTCACTACGCCCTGAACTCTCGCCCGAACCTGCTGCTCGCCCTCCTGCTGCCTCCACTCTTCCCAATGCCGCCTTCCCTGCTACTGCACGCACCGCCATGTGTTCTGCCCTCCTATTGCCCTGCTCCCTCGTCTTCAATCCTGCTGCTTTTGTTGCCACCGACCCCGCTGGGCTGCTCTTAGCAGCAACACTGCTTGCAGCTGCAGGCGTCACACGAGTGGCCTTGGCTGGTGCTCCTTTAGCTGCTGCAGCTGCAGGCTTAGCAGGAATGCTTCTAGCAGCAGCAGCCTTGGCTGGTGCAGCTGCAGATACACGTATTGCCTTCGCTGCTGAAACTGCGGCCTTCACAGGAACGCTTTTCACAGCGACGCTCCTCACGGAAGCAGTCTTAACATCAGCGTTGCTGACACCAGCCCTCTTTAGAACGGCGGTGGTGACAGCAGCGCGTGCACCCATGACGTGCGTGGGCGTGGGCGTGTTGCTGCGTGGCTGACTCACGGGCGTGTTGCTGCGCGGCTGACTCACGGGCATGTTGCTACGCGGCTGACTCACGGGCGTGTTGCTGCGCGGCTGACTCACGGGCTTGGTGGGTCGCAGCGGGGAGAAGCCCAGCGACGCACGGGGGGAGCGCGCAGTGCTCTGCTCGTCCTCGTTCAACCGCCCCACGCGCACCGCAACGGCGTGCAGCCGCTGCTGCCGCCTCTTGCACATCAGAGGACTGTTGGCGCGCTTAAAGCTGCTGGTGCCGCTGGTGCCGCTGCTGCAGGTGATGCTTCTGCTGCCGCTGATGATGCTGCTGCCGCTGATGATGCTGCTGCCGCTACTGCTCCTTCTGGCCACGCTAGAGCTGCTGCAGCCATTTGTTGACGTGCTGCTGGCAGTGCTGCTGGCAGCAGGTGTGGCGCCAAGAGTGAGGGTCACAACGGGCTCGCATAAACGAATCCCGGGGACGTACAGCCACGTCTGCTCCTCCTCGCTGTAGTCCTTCCAGAACGCATGATTGATGGATGTATCTGCAGGCGCCGGGAAGTCCAGGGGGCCAGACAGCCACGTGCAGTCCTCCTCGCTGAAATCGTTCCAGAACTCGTGATCTAGGCCCAAGGACGTCAGCGGCGTGTACAGCCACGTGCATTCTTCTTCGCTGAAATCCTTCCAGAACTCGTGATCGATTGAGGGGCTCGTAAACTGGATAGCTGAGGCGTTCCGCGCGGCCATTGTACGAGCGGGAGGCTAAGCGTCCGGGAAATTACTAGTCTCAAGAACCGGGAGTTGAAACCAGGTGGTAGCTGTCAAAAGCAAGTAATAACTCGAACGGGTGTGGTGAACTGAATGAGAATGACAAGTGCCTTTGTGGTGTTGGGAATGCACGACAACTCCAAGGCGGAAAGGTGGATGGAGCTCGGGTGGAGAGAAGGAACGGTGGTGCGTAGACGGGGGAAAGCAGGTCTCCTGCCCATAGCGAAAGTAGTTCATCCCGGGAAAGGCGTGCTCTGTCTTGTGATTGGAGGAGAATGGACAGAGGGGTTCACCAGCCAATGGCAAGCTGTCCGAAACGAATGCTCCAAGCATAACCTCGAGGTTCGGCACGGCCGGACGAGATTGTCGCGGCTCGTTCATCTCGGACCAAGTCGATTCTGGGCAGCAAAGTCTCAGCATTTCGGCTGCCCAAACTGAATTCGAATCGCACTTCCGTCAAGGTCGCCGCTGCTCGAGGATGAATCAGTTATATGCCTGCGGAAGCACGGTACTGCTTCTCGTTGACTGAATGTAGGGTTCCTGTGAGAGCGGTCGCCACTCTAAGGGCGTGTGTCTTTTGGAGTGTATTGTAAAGTTCATGTTTTTTTTTCGACTTTGTGCATTTGAACCTCGGTCGACCTGTAGTCGACCGTCCCAACAATTTTCTTTTTTCCCTTTTCATTTTTTCCTTCTTTTTTCACATCAAGCACATGGACCAACAAAGTTCGACTGTGGAAGGTCGACTTTATACAGTAAATCTCGAGTCGCGCCTACGATTCGTAGGTTACCTGGTCTATAAAATGAAGTTCGTGACCGAATCCGGCTTCGGTAACTCGTTACGATGCAGTTTGTTTTTGTCGCAATTTTCGCTGCTGCTTCGTGCGTGAGCAGAGGAACACACGATTGGAAAAACGTGGACGAATAAATCGAAAGCGAGGTTGACCCCAGTTCAGTGTCCTCCTGATTTCTCAAACATTATTCATGGACACAAGAACGTCGCAAGCAGTGTTAAACGACATTAACGAAGCTGGTTACCAGCAAAAGGTCGACCTTTTTTTCGAACTTCTACACCAAAAGACACACGCCCTAAGGTATGCTCGAGGCTGCTATGCCTTCGATTTTGTTCCGTCAGCGTCAACGAACTAACGAGCGAGGAAACTACGGAAGCGATTGAATCGGAGGCCAGCGGATCGCACTTCGGCTTGGCGCCTAACAACGAAAATCGATCGGACGGTTCTAAGCAACTGAGGAAAACTCGGAGGCCCTGCAAACAAGTCTCGAGGAACTAGGGTTCCTTCTCCCAAAACAATCGTTAGTCAGGCAGGTCCAAGCACGAGTAAAACGAATGCTTCTATGTGCAAACTCGTTATAAAAAATTGCAATTGTTACAAGATTCTTGCACGAACAATACAGCAGGATGTTCCTTTATGAATGTTGAACAAAAGAATATGACATTGTTTAAAATCACTAGTTTCATCGGATCACCGCATTGCAGAAAAACTAACCAATGTGCGGCGCAGCTTGTGAGAATTATCGTACTTCTCTGGCATTGGAATTGATTTGTTACCACCAGTACGTGAATTTCCTGCTGTATTTCATCATCAAGTGAGAAGAGGTTTGACCTTCAATCAGATATAATGTACCTTATGGTAACCTCGTGGTAGAGTGCATCAATCGAGCATATTCAACTGGACAACATTGCAACTCTCAGCATATTGACGAAGGCAATTTTCCTCCCGAATGTCCCTCCGGAAGAGAAAAAAAACATTAACAAGCAGCTTTTGTACACACCTTGTCAACCACCCAACCAACCCCTTACCCTTCCCCTCTCCTTGCACGCTGCTCTCCCCACCCAAACTCTTTCCCACACAATCTTCTTGCTGCACAGCCAGAGGGAAATGTCACACCTGCAATGAGATAGCCAATCGCATGAGATTGCCACTGGAAGACATGAAAAGGAGAAGAGAAAAAAAAAATATGCACAAGAAAAATGATGATGTGAGATTGAGTGAGATGGCAAGGCAATCCACTATCGGACCCATCCTGTCTTCTCCCCCACTTCTCCGTTGGTCACAGCCTCTCCTGAGTTCTCTCTCCTGCTCTCATGCCCATCGCCACTCCCATCCCGCCCATAGGGTTTAGGGTGAGGCCGTATTTAGGGTGAGCCAATGAGAAAGTTAAAGTGTACAGAAAGAAATGCGGTAAAAGGTGTTGTGAGCATGAATGTGATGACTGTGATGAATGTACGGCAAAAAACAGCCTGCGAGCTGCACAACAATCCACACCCCCCCTCATTCTTTGTGTATTCCCCGCCCTTGCAGACACTCCGGCCTACCTCGAATGGCAAAATGGGTGTGGAAGGATGGCGTGAGAGCGTGACAATGGGATAGCGGCAATGAAATAGCGACAATGGGACCGCCAGAGTGGGAAGAGGAAATGCAAGAGAGAGAATCTGACTATGGCGGATTGGGAAAGGTGTCGGAATCTCTCTCTGTCTTGCTTCAGGTTGCCCGGCCTTGCCTCCTGTTGGCCCTGCCTCCTGTGCTCCTGATGCTAGGGTGTTGTCTCTCCTCTGCAGCCTTCCTCGTCACTGCATTAGTGCCCTCGGCTCTCTGGGTACCTGCCTTGCCTTGCCACCTGCATCCTACACTTAAAAGCTCCTCTACTTGCTGAGAGGAGATTGCTTCGACTGGGGGCTGAGCTCGGCAGACTCACTGCTCTTCCTTGGCTCAGATCGTGCTTGCTAGGATTGGCTCCACTCGTGCTTGGTGCTAGGGGTTTCGCCAGCCAGAATTATAGCTTAGTGTGAAAACAAACTCGCAAGCAAAGATCCCCTACTTGCGCTACTGCTTAAGTAATTGTGAGCGGTGGTTACCGTTGCCGAGCAACAGTGCTTTCGCACGGCTCGCTTCGTGTTCCCGCTCGAACATTCCCCTTTTTCCCCTTACTTCTCTACAGTCTATTACGCTACTTCACAATGTCATGCACCTATCTTATTATATCTATACTAAGTAGAAAAGCATGACAGCTGTCGGAATCTCTCTCTGTCTTGCTTCAGGTTGCCCGGCCTTGCCTCCTGTTGGCCCTGCCTCCTGTGCTCCTGATGCTGGGGTGTTGTCTCTCCTCTGCAGCCTTACTCGTCACTGCATTAGTGCCCTCAGCTCTCTGGGTACCTGCCTTGCCTTGCCACCTGCATCCTGCACTTGCCCCCTCCTCGGCTGCCTAGCTCCTGCTGCAAGCCGATGGACTCCTTCCACTCCTGGCTGCTGGACTCTTTCCTCTGCCGTTCCTGCACCGTCTTCCTTAGCTCCCCTCCTTGGTCGGGCTCGTGCCACGTTGGTCTGATGGTCTTTCATCTCCCTGCCTCCCTCGCTCACCAGCACCACCACTCCCGACTCTTTCACTTCCTTGACCTTCCAGCGCTCGTTGCTGAGGCCTATGTCCATCATGTCGTGCCTCGCTTGCTTCAGATAAACCTCCTCCCCTACTCCCAGCTGCTTTTCCTTAGCGGCTCCCTGTCCCTCCCTCCTCTTCTTGTATCGCTGCGCGTCTCTGAGCTGAGTCACGTGCAAGTTCTCTAGCGCTGCAGGTAGCAGTTCTCTTAGGTACCTGGCCCGTGCCTCTGCCAGCCCCACCCAACTTTCCGCTAATGCCACTGTCACAGTTCCTGTCAGCAGCTTCGGTGCGTCTACTGGCAGTATGGGCTCTCTCCCCAGCAGTAGGTAGTATGGGGACACGTCCTTCAGAGCTGCCTGTTTGCTGAACCGGTATCCTGCAGCTACCCAGGGCAGTCGTGCATCCCAGTCTCGCTTGAATTTCTCTCCGTAGGCCCGCAGTCCCCTCTTCATAGTCTGGACAAACCTCTCTGTCAGCCCATTGCTCTGGGGGTGGTAGCGGGACGTCCTTCGGTGCGTGATTCCTGTCGCCTGTAGTAGCTTCTCGAACTCTCCTAGGAACTCGGTCCCTTGGTCGGTCAGGACTTCTCCGCATGCGCCGAATCTGGTGAGGACTTGCTCCTCAAACGCCTCTGCTATCTTCGCCGAGTTCTTACTGGGTAACGCCTTGACCTCCACCCACTTGCTCCCGTGTTCTATTATGATAAGTATGTACCGCTTCCCTCTGCGGCTCAGCGGCATCTCTCCTGCCAAATCTAGCGACCATCGAAACCCTAGTCCTCGTATGGGAAGTGACTGCAACTCCTCTCTTCCTCTCTCCAGCTCTGCCTTGTTCCTGCTGCACAGCTCGCATGACTCTACCCACTCTTTTATCTCTCTCCGCATTCCCGCCCACCACCACCCGGTCTCTACCAGCTGGCTGGTCCTCAGACTTCCATAGTGCCCCAGCGTCCGATGCACCTTGGCTATTATCTGCTCTCTTTCTTCTCTCCTTGGCACCAGCTTCCACCCGTCCTTAGTGTTTTTCTGCAGCTGGTCCTGGTACCATCTGTAGTGCACCCCTCTCGCCCGGGCTCGCTCGCTGGCTGGCCCGGCCTCTGTAGTTTTGCCTTGTATCCACTTCAGCACCTCTTCATCCTCCCACACATCATCGGGCCCTCGCTCCTGCTTCTTCCTGGCCCCTTCTCCGTCAATCTCCCGGGCTAGCGCGACCAGGCAGGCGGTGGGGCTGTCCGGCGGAGGGTTCCTGGAGAGGCCGTCTACATGCTGCAGCGTCTTCCCCGGTCAGTGCCTGATGGTGAACTCGTACTCCTGCAACCGCATCGCCCACCTGGCGTTCCGGCCGGTGAGAGCTTGGTTGGTCATGAGCCAAGTCAAGGGTTGGTGGTCTGTCACTAGGGTGAAGGGCCGGCCCTGCAGGTACACACGGAAGTGGGTGACCCCCCACACGGCTGCCAACCCTTCTCCCTCGTAGGAGCAGTAGTTGGCCTCTGCCGGGTTGCAGCTCCTGCTGGCGAAGGCCACTACCATCTCCCGCCCCTCTCTCTCCTGACACAGTATGGCTCCCATGCCTGCACTGCTCTA